AAACAAATGCCTGGCTTGGAAAACTGTTGCTTGGGGTTCTCAAAGAGCTGTTTTCAGTTAAGTGTAGATTATTTATCTATTTTATTTGCATCCTCCCTCCCAAGAGGCTCAAGGAAGTGTGTGTGGCCCTCTCACCATTCATTTACACAGCAACCCTGTGAGGTAGGCTAGGCTAGCAGCTGATGACAGGATCAAGGTTCATGGAAGATAAGTCTATCCATGACTGCTGGGCCTGATGGTTATGTTCTGTGTCCCGTGTCAGAGGCAGTAATGCGTTTTTGGAAACCACAAGGAGGGGAGAGCTCTCCAGTGCTCAGGTTCTGCTTCCCAGTTTCCCAGAGGCATCTGGTTGGCCTCTCTGAGAATGGGATTCTCATCTAGATGGGACCGAATCCAGTAGGCCATTCTTGGCTTCTCATGGTACCTACTGAGCTTCATGGACAAGTGGGAATTTGAACCCAGGTTCCCACCCCATCCTAGTTCAATACTCTAACCACTTTAGTCTGCTACTCTAGCCATTATATCACTGGGCTAGTAATTGAAATTGAAGCTGAAGTACTTTATTGTCACTTGTACAACTTGCATACAGTGAGATTACACAAGCACCCCCCACTCAGCTCTCTTAGTCCCCTCATTTACATCCACCAAACCCGAAAGTCAGTTGCCCTGTAGTTATCTTTTCATTCAGCAGCCTCGCAGCCCACGGATAGAAGCTGTTCTTTACCCTGTTGGTGCGACTAATCATGCTTCTATATCTTCTGCCTGAGGGCAGGAGATCAAGAAAGTGCCGGCCAGGGTGTGAATCATCCCTGAGAATTTTCCTCACTCTCCTGAGGCAACGTTCTTCCGCTATTTCATCCAGCGGATTCATGGGACAGCCCATAATATCTTGCGCTGTATTCACCATCCTCTGTTGGCACTTCCTATCAGTTGATGTTAAACCAGCATACCGCACCGTGATGCAGTATGAAAGGACACTTTCTATTGTGGACCGGTAGAAGGAGATAATCAAATGTTGATTGACGTCGTTCTTCTGCAATACTCTGAGGAGATGGAGCCTCTGTTGGGCTTTCTTAACCACCTGGGTTGTATTTATTTTCCAAGTAAGGTCTTCACTGAGATAAACTCCTAGGAATTTAAAGGAAGAGACTCTCTCCACACAGCCCTCCCCGATGTAGTAGGGAGTAGGGAGGGAGCTGCCTTTGGGCTTTTTTCTTTTCAAACTAGAATCCCGATGTTACACCAAAGGTGTTTGTAAGTCTTAAAGCAAGAAGATCTTTATAATGATCTTGGGAGAGTAGCTCAGTTGCACAGTAGATGCTTCAGTCAAATTGCTTCCCCTGCTGGCCATTGTAGAGAGCACTGAGTAAAGTGCTTGGAGAGATAGACTCAAGTTGTGACTATAAGGAGCATTATAGCTGACCCTTTAGGGCATGATAAGCAGACTTGGGGATTGCTGGGGTGTTTTTTTTTGCTCATGCTGGGAGTGCCTTTGGTCCCACACATGGTGGTGGAGTCCAGGGTGTGCTTCTTTTCAGTTCTGCCATTCTAGGGCACCTGTCAGTTGAAACAGAGTGTCCTTTCTGCCATGGCAGGAAGAAGCAAACGCCTTGCAGCTGCTTCTCCTTTGGCCAGCGGATGGAGGCAATGTGATCTCCCCTCACTCCCGCCATGCTGTTTGCCCAAGCAGGCAGGCATGCAGTTCCTCCATGGCCATCTTGAGTGCAGATCTCAAAAGAGGTTCCTACGCAAGGAGGGAAATATTGAGTCGCGTTGGTCTTCAGGCAGTTGAGGGCTTTAAATGGCAAAGCCAACACCTAGAGTCGAGTCTGGAAATAAATTGGGAGCCAGTGTAGCTGGAATAGAAAAGATTCCATCAACGGTGTCTCAAATTTTTTTACACATCACTTGGGAAGACAGGCGAACTAATACCAGTGCCCTGGAAGAAGCAAAGATCACCAGTGTTGAAGCAGTGATTCTTCAACATCAACTTTGTTGGACTGGTCATGTCGTGCGGATGCCCGATGATCGTCTTCCAAAGCAACTACTCTATTCCGAACTTAAAAATGGAACGCGTAATGCTGGTGGTCAACAAAAGAGGTTTAAAGACTGTCTCAAGGCAAATCTAAAAAAAATGTAGTATAAACACTGACAACTGGGAAACTGTGGCCTGCGAGCGCTCCAGTTGGAGAACAGCCTTTACCAAAGGTGTCATGGGCTTTGAAGACACTCGAACTCAGGATGCAAGGGAGAAATGTGCTAAGAGGAAGGCATGCTTGGCAAATCCACACCGTGATCAACTCCCGCCCGGAAACCACTGTTGAAGGACGTGTGGATCCAGAATTGGCCTCCATAGTCACTTATGGACTCATTGTTAAAACCGTGTTTATGTAAGACAATCTTACTCGGCTACGAGTGATCGCCAAAGAAGAAGAAGAAGAAGGCTGAAATGATCTGCCTGTCTGCAAGAATCTGAACTTTTTGGTCTTCCTGGACATTCTTTGAGGGCAACCCTAGGTGGAGTGGGTTATAATAATCCAATGATTAAAACATGCCTATAAGTATTAGAGCTATCTACTTGCAAGGCACAATATGTGATTTATATTAGTATGAGATGCACCCCCCCTCAGCACACTGAATATATGAGGTGGAAGGGGCTTTAGCCCCCTCAATATTCTGAGGCCGGGGCACTGCTACCAACCAATATTGAGGGGACTGCCATTACCTGCTACCCCTGGGTGAGCGCTGGCACCCTCTGTGGCACCTGCTGCAATCTCTTGAGTGCTAGGCTGGGCAGGAGACTTGGAGGGCAATTTTCACTACCTGCACTGCCCAGCGGGATCGCCAGAGTGCATCCGTGCAGGTGTAGCCAACATGGTGCCCTCAAGACGTTGTGGGACTCTTAACTCCCATCAGCCCCAGCCAGAACGGCCAATGACCAGGGGTGATGGGAGTTGTAGTCGAGGAGCATGCCGGTCAGTAATCACACAGTTCAAGTTGGAGTTAGCTCTTTATTATCTAAAACACGATCTTCACAGACTTGGCTGAGTGTTAGGCCTAATGAGCAGAGCAGTTCATCCCCGGTGGTCTTACTCCATGGAAATCAGTTGCCAAGACTGAAAGTCCCCACATCCCCATAGCAGTCTATGTTGCCTCCTTTTCAGGGCTTTCCCCAAGCAATCAGAGACTGTGCTTGCATGAAGCCTGCTGCAGCTCCACTCGTTTCAGCCCTCTTCTGGTTCTGGGAGACGGGGGGGGGGGTGGAGAGAGGATCTTGTCACAGCAGGAGGGGGAGACACTTGTGACTCTTCATTAGGCTGACTCATCTTTGCCTCTTGGCCTCCCTTCTCCCATTCTCCTGCTTCTGCCTCTGATTCTGGACTGATTCTGCCACAAGCTCTGTTACTTCTTCTGCTTCCAACACCTCTTCCCATTCATTCCCTCTTCTCCCTCTGGCCACTCCTTGTTGTCCCACCACTTCCCCCCAGGTTCCCTTCTTCCCTTGGTGGTTCCCCAGCTGGTTCCTCACGCCATTCGTCTGTGTCCAACAAGTCCATGACATTCTGCAATACCTGGAGTCCACTACCTTGGCTTCACCTGATTTATATGGTGCATTTAGGATCCAGTACAATACAGCTTTGAGAGTTGCCTTGAGCATGAGCAAAGAGTAGAACAAACACTTTGCCTGGGAGTGCTGAAAAATAAATTCTTAATGTTCATTGTAATGCTTCTGAAGTGTTGTTGTCTTGGCAACAAGACCTCTCTCTTGTTAAAAAGAAATCTACCTCTCAGCCAGCTATATTTTCATAGCATTTTTAAACAACAAAGGTTCCAACTTGTACAGATAAACTAATAACAATAAAGCAAATTAGAGACAGTGGAGGGTGTTCTCCATTGCCATTAAACTTACTATCCCAGAACATTGCAAAAAAACCAGCCATCTCTCCATAAACGTGTTAGCTTGATTATTATCATGTTTATCACCTGCTAATTGTGCCTGGTTTTGGGTCACAGCTATCTTTTCAAGCTAGGACTTCAGATGATCTTTTGAGTACCTTTTGTGGATGATAAAAAGGTAAAGGGATCCCTGACCATTAGGTCCAGTCGTGGATGACTCTGGGGTTGCGGCGCTCATCTTGCTTTACTGGCCGAGGGAGCCGGTGTACAGCTTCTGGGTCATGTGGCCAGCATAACTAAGCTACTTCTGGCGAACCAGAAGAGCGCACGGAAATGCCGTTTACCTTCCTGCCGGAGCGGTACCTATTTATCTACTTGCACTTTGACGTGCTTTCGAACTGCTAGGTGGGCAGGAGCAAGGTACTCAGGTTTAATTTTTCATGCAGATAACTGTGGTTTTAGAAGGCACATGCTAAAATGTGAATATGGAGCCGAGATAGAAGAGTGTTTGTGTGATTGGCTCCTGGAACCGTACAGTAGATGAGGCCAAGGAGTTATCATTTTCCAAAACTGGGTAATTGTTGCCCTCTGCAAAACAAAAGTTTTTGAATACTACTGAGATCTTGGGAGCAAGGCAGGAAGCTCAGCTGTTAGCAGTCTAAATTATAGGCTGCGGATGTGTTTGTGTCGCGAGACATCCTGTTATTGCTTTGCACTATCCCTCTGTACTTGGGGACTCGCTGGCTTTAATACACCGAAATAAAGAGCAGCGAAATTAGGATCATTACAACATCTCTCCCCCCACCATCTCCTATCCCAAGAGATTGCAACTCGGGCTATGTGATTTGCTTCTTTCAAGACTTAGATGTGCTCTATCCCTTTCTGCGAAATATGTGTCAGCTTTAATAAAGGCAGTGAAATGTTTTCTGAATGGCTGTGCTACCCGAGTTCATTGTGGGGCACGGCCTGCAGTGTTGGTGCCTCATCCATTTTTCTTTTGCAAAATTTGGGCCTGGGCTGTGTTCCGGTCTAGAAAGAGCCTTTGTTTTAGAAAGGTGATTTTTAAGAGATTTGCTTTGCATTTCCCACAGGGGATTTGCTGGGTGGTGTGTGTGTGTGTGTGTGTGTGTGTGTGTGTGTTTGTGTGTGTTGCCTGTTTCTCTAGCAGCAGGTGGTAGAATTTGCATTGCATTGAAGTGGGTGTAGTGGCAAGGATTGCAAAAATAAAGATTACATCTCTGCTTCTCAATAATATAACAAACAGTGCAATCCTACACACACACACACACACACACACACACACACACACACTGTTAGAAACTCAGATATATAAGCTAGGCACCAAATGGCTTCTTAAACCAAGGTTACAATTGCCAAAATGCAATGTCTAGTTGCCATTTGACCAAACTGCGGGAGGCAGTGGAAGACAGGAGTGCCTGGCGTGCTCTGGTCCATGGGGTCACGAAGAGTTGGACACGACTAAACAACAGCAGTTGCCATTTTGGAGTGAGATGGCTCCAAAGTCTTTGTTTTCAAATGATGGACTGACTGTGTTGGATTCACAGTTAAACATCTGGCTAGTGCAGATGAAACCTTGAGCTCAGTTAAGAGTTTTGAGAACTTAAAGAAGAAAAGTCCTTTGATCCAGGGACCGTCCACATATATATTGGCCTCTTCCTACCTCCTTTGGTTAATCGCAATGTAAGAATACTCTTCACAACTGTGAGCAGGGCAGTGGGGTGGGGTAAATGAAGACAAGCTATGACAATTAATTATAACATTGCTCACTGCTCCTGCTCAGGCTGCACAGAAAAAAAGCATTTTTGTTCCAGAAATTCATTCCAGTTGTGCAGATGAAATATAACTGATAGACTTCTACAGAATGGGGTAATAGTGTGCGAAAACGGTCCAGATCCAGTGATCCCCAGGCATGCACTTCCAGATGGTGGAGATGTCAGGCACCATCCTGGGGCCCAGACATTTTCACTTGGTCATAAGTGGTTGAAAGCACCCCCCCCCAGTCTTTCTTGGTTCATTGGGGCTTACTCCAAGCTCAGTATCTATAGGATTGCAGCCTAATAGTGCAAGTGCAGGCTACCTGGGAGGGCATTCAGGAGGAAGAGCGTGGATGGGGAACCTTATGCTCAGGGGCCAAATATGGCCCTCGAGACCTCTGTGACTGCCTTTGGGACTCCCCCCAAGCCACACTCCCCACCACCCCTCGATGGAGTAAAGGCAGAGAGAGTCCACATAGTAACTGTAGGGACGCGGGTGGTGCTGTGGTCTAAACCACTGAGCCTCTTGGGCTTGCTGATCAGAAGGTCAGTGGTTCGAATCCCAGCGATGGAGTGAGCTCCTGTTGCTCTGTCCCAGCTCCTGCCAACCTAGCAGTTTGAAAGCATGCCAGTGCGAGTAGATAAATAGGTACTGCTCCGGCGGGAAGGTAAACAGCGTTTCTGTGCGCTCTGGTTTCTGCCATGGTGTCCTGTTGCGCCAGAAGCTGTTTAGTCCTGCTGGCCACATGACCCGGACAGCTGTCTATGGACAAATGCCAGCTTCCTCAGCCTGAAAGCAAAGATGAGCGCTGCACCCCATAGTCGCCTTTGACTGGACTTAACCGTCCAGGGGTCCTTTATCATTTACCTTTACCTTTACATAGTAACTAGGGCTTGCCGATCAGAAGGTCGGCAGTTTGAATCCTTACAACAGGGTGAGCTCCAGTTGCTTGGTCCTTGCTCCTGCCAACCTAGCAGTTTGAAAGCATGTCAAAGTGCAAGTAGATAAATAGGTACCACTCCGGTGGGAAGGTAAACAGCATTTCTGAGCGCTGCTCTGGTTCACCAGAAGCGGCTTAGTCATGTTGGCCACACGACCAGGAAGCTGTCTGTGGACAAACGCTGGCTCCTTCGGCAGTAAAGCAAGATGAGCGTCACAACCCCAGAGTCGTCAACGACTGGACCTAACGGTCAGGGGTCCCTTTACCTTTACGCAAACTAAGCCCCGGGGGCAGGATACAGCCCAATCACCTTCTAAATCCGGGCCGTGGACGGTCCAGGAATCAGCGTGTTTTTACATGAGTAGAATGTGTGCTTTTATTTAAAATGCATCTCTGGGTTATTTGTGGGTTATAGGAATTTGTTCATTTTTTTCGTTCAAAATATAGTCCGGCCCCCCGCAAGGTCTGAGGGACAGTGGACTAGCCCCCTGCTGAAAAAGTTTGCTGACCCCTGGTTTAGACTGTGTGTCAGAAAAAGACCGCGAAGCAGCTTGGATGTGAAGCACCCAAATCCATATTCCCCATACATGCCCCTCACGCCAAAAATCCAGGGAGTGTTTTAAACCAGCTCAGATGGCTCAAATACTTCTTTTTTTCTTTCGCTCCTCATGGGAACAATGGGGGGTTTTTAAAGGCGAAATGACAGAGGAACAAAAGTGTTTCTCCGCAGATCATTTCACTTCTCTCTGTTCACTTTCTCCACACCTTCCTTCATCATCTCCCTCCATCACATTCCCTCCTTCTTCCTCACCTTTTCTTTGACAACTAAATCCCCCTCCCCAGTGCTGTTAATCTTTGCTCATGGGAAAGCTGCCCTAGTCCTTCAACACCGTATTTTTCGCTCCACAAGACGCACCTAATTTTTAGAGGAGGAAAGGGGGAAAGCCCCATTTTGGGGGGATCAGCTCACAGTTTTGCTGCTTCTTTTGCAAAGGGGGAAAGCCCCGTTTTTTTGAGAATCAGCTCAACGTTGTTGAGCTTACTTTGCAAAGGGAAAAAATCCTGTTTTTATGGGGTTCAACTCATGGTTCTGGAGCTTCTTTAGGAAAGGAAAGGGAGCCATTTCTACAGTTTCCAGACTGATAATCTAATCAGCCAGTCACATGTCGCTGGGGAAACAAACAGCCTCCGTCTGCAGAACATTCAACAATGGAGGCCTGGGCAAGGGGGCAGGGCCAGAAAGGGAGCCTGCGATCGACCACACATTCGCTCCATAAGATGCACAAACATTTCCCCTTACTTTTTAGGAGGAAAAAGGTGCGTCTTATGGAGCAAAAATACAGTAATTTTTTTTGCCCTTTTCTCACTTTTTTTTTTACAGTATTCTTTTTGGTGGTGTAGTGACCAGAACTGTATACAGCGCTTCAAGTGTGGTTGCACCACTGATTTTTAAATATATATTTTTTATTAAAGGTGTTACGATAGTGGCTGTTTTCTTTTCAATCCCTTTCTTAATAATCCATAATTTGGAATTCATTTTTTTCCACAGCTGGAAAATGCCCCCCCTGGCAGTGTAGTGTTTTGAGCAGGCATAGGCAAACTCCAGCCCTCCAGATGTTTGGGACTACAACTCCCATCATCCCTAGCTAACAGGCCAGTGGTCAGCGATGATGGGAGTTGTAGTCCCAAACATCTGGAGGGCTGGAGTTTGCCTATGCCTGGTTTTGAGGAATCATTAATATTTTATAGCAATTGGTTTAAGTTCTGGTTCACTTCTAACGATGACCCCCTAAAGGTATTTAAATTGTGCATCTCTGATTTACTTTGCAAATGTGTGACTTGGAAATGTGTGAACATCTCTTTGTGTGAGTTTTATATCACTTTGAAACTTTAGGTGTGCGTTTTCAGATGGTGTTGGGTTCATTTTTCTGCCTTAGCTGTTTCAAGAGATGTTCACATGTAGAAGAGAGTAAAAAGATATTTAAAAGCACCATAAATAGTGGTGTGGGCAATTGTATGTGATAGGGCTTAGCCTCCTGAGCGTTTTGATATATGATCAGTGCCAGATTTATGTATAAGCTAAACAAGCTATAGCTTAGGGCCCCACTCTTGGGGGGCCCCAAAAATTTTAAAGGAAAAAAACCTGGATGTACATTTCGAAAATATAAGATAAAAAACAAATAAAATAAAACCTACATACAGCAAGAGTGCTTTGTGTTGTGTTGGCTCCTATGATGTAAGTAATGGGCCCCACCTGCTAGCCTGCTCCCTAAAATATCACTGGTTTGCTCATTACTATATACAGGGTGCCGAGTGGCCCTGTGGGTTAAACCACAGAGCCGATCAGAAGGTCGGCGGTTCGAATCCCCGTAACGGGGTGAGCTCCCATTTCTCGGTCCCTGCTCCTGCCATCCTAGCAGTTCGAAAGCACGTCAAAGTGCAAGTAGATAAATAGGTACGGCTCCGGTGGGAAGGTAAACGACGTTTCCATGTGCTGCTCTGGTTTGCCAGAAGTGGCTTAGTCATACTGGCCACATGACCTGGAAGCTGTACGCCGGCTCCCTCGGCCCATAAAGTGAGATGAGCGCCACAACCCCAGAGTCGGTCACGACTGGACATAATGGTCAGGGGTCCCTTTACCTTTACCTTTACATTCTGCATGGTCTGGTTGCATGGCAACATGTGCAAATGGCTTTAGATACCTATTAGGTCCATAAATTACCATATAGCATATATTCTACACAAAAAACAGTGACAAATTGTTCTTGACAAAGGACAGCTGGACATATAAAGGGCCCCATTACCTTCTGTAGCTTAGGGCCTCATCAAACCTAAATCCGGCCCTGTATATGATATGCTTCCTGCCCCCTTTTGTCTCTGGCTGCACCCACCAATGTCATGTGGCCCCTGAAAGGTTGCGCAGACAGAAAAGTGGCCCCCAGGATGAAAAGCATTCTCCAGGCCTAATCTATCAGAAGACACAATGGAAATCAGAAGCCACAGAAATGCACAGAAAGTTCTTTAATACTTAGGCTTGTGTCGTGCTGGGATAAATATTTGCCAGGCTTTCTTTTTTCACCCCCTCCAGGAAGGAGCTGCTGGAGGGAAGACAGTTGGCCTGATGATTAATGTAAAAGTATGGAACTGTGAATGTCCACTCAACCGCTGTGCGTGTTGATAGTCGAGGGGAATATTCTTTTGGAATGAGAGCAGGGGGAACATGATGGCGGGAGCAAAACCCAGGGAGTCTCGCCTCCCTTCTCTGAGGATGATTATCCTTGCAGCGTGCTGTATAATAATTTGTGCCAACATGGAGAGTGAAAGATTAAGGGGATTCTGCAAAGTGATTTGAATATTCTCGTAGTTTTAGAAGCCACTTTTCAACTTCAAAGTCCCTCAAAGTGCTGTAAGTTAGGACAAATATGAAGGATAAGAAATGAGAAAGGCTTCTTTGTGTTGATGAGCAGGTGAGAGTTTGTTTGTCTCAAATCAGACCTAATATAAATGAGCTCAATCTCATACCTCTCATTGAATCTGTATATGTTCTTAAGGTGCATGTGTAAGAGGTTCGTTTATAATTATATTTTGAGTATGATTC